AAAAAAGAAAATATTTCAACATATATGACACAGTAAATGTCCTTCATATATAAAGAGCTCTTAAAAGTGAATGAGGAAAAAATGAAAAATTCCAGTTAAAAAAAGTTCAATGCACAAGAACATGTAATTTACAAATGAAGACATACAAGTGTAAAACGTATATTCTATCAAGTAATAAAATAAATACCAACTAAAATAACAATGGAATTCTATTTTTTTCACTTAAATACTCAATGTTGTAAAGAATGTGAAAAACAGGAATCCTGATTCAAAGCTCTTGGGGGCAGCTAGCCAATCTGAATTAAACTCTTCAGATTCCTTCACTTAGCCACTCTCACTTTTAGGAATATCTCTTAAGAAAATAAAAAGAAAATCAATATGAAGATCCACATTTGAAGATAGTAATCATGGAGTTTTTAGTGATAATTTTATTTATTTTTTTAAAATTTTTACCAGAGTCTTATTGATTAAATGTTGAGTTAGTTTCAGATGTACAGCAAAGGACTCAGTTATAGTTATCCATGTATCTGTTCTTCATAAGATCCTTTCCCTGTATGGGTCTTTATGGAGTGCTCAGTAGAGTCTCCTGTGCCATATACAGTAGGTCCTGATTATTTATTTTATATATCATGATGATTTTAAAATTAAGAACAACCTAAATGCCTGAAAATAGGAAATTAGTTTAATATCAGTCCAGTTGCTCAGTCATATCTGACTCTTTGCGACCCCATGGACTGCAGCACATATAACTAGTTTAATACAGTTTAGTACAAAAATATTGGATAGAATACTATACAGTCAATAAAAACCATGTCTTCAAAGAAAATTTAAGGACACACAAAAATGCTCACAGTACAATGTCCCTTCACTTCAGTCCTGTCCGACTCTGCAACCCCGTGGACTGTAGCTCACCAGGCTCCTCTGTCCATGGGATTCTCCAGGCACGAACACTGGAGTGGGTTGCCATTTCCTTCTCCAGGGGATCTTCCCCACCCAGGGATCGAACTCTTGCCTCCTGTGTCTCATGAATTGACAGGTGGCTTCTTTACCACTAAGCCGCCAGAGAAGCCCAAACCTCAATAAAATTGATTTTAAAAAATGACTCTGGACATCCCTGGTGTTTCAGTAGCTAAGACTCTGCACTTTCACTGCAAGGGTCATGGGCTCAACTCCTGGTCTGGGAACTAAGATCCCCCCTGTGTTTGGTGTGGCCAAAAATTAAAAAAAAAAAAAAGACTGAACACTACCTTGAAATACTTTTCTGTCATTCTCATCCAACAGGTAACTAAAAGTGCATGGCTCTAACTGTAATTATCCTGAGCAGATCTCTCCTTACTATCTGGGACCTGAGACTCGGCAGCACAGAGATCCCCCCGATCCTACACAACTGAGCCTCTTTCTCCTAACTCGAATATCAGGAGGTGGAACCAGGAGGGAAGCAGGAACAAAGACGTTTCTGATCAATTGATAGTATTATAATATTCCATTATTACACACACGCATGGACATGGACACATGCCCAGTTCCACAAATGCCATTCTTATGGTGCCTGACATTAAGAAAATATATGCATGTGTGCCTGTTCAGTCATGTTTGACTCTTTGTGACCCCATGGACTGTAGCCCACCAGGCTCCTCTGTCTATGGGATTCTCCAGGCAAGAATACTGTAGTGGGTTGCCATTTCCTGCTCCAGGGGATCTTCCCGACCCAGGGATCAAACCCACATTTCCTCATGGGCAGGCAGATTCTTTACCATTGTGCCATCTGGGAAGTTCCAGAAAAATACATAATAAGTGTGAATAACTGTTGTCCCAAGCCTGCATTCTTTATGCTGTTATCTCTACATGCATGGACATTTCCACAAAGCCGAGAGTCTCTTTAACCTTGTATCGAAGGTGCAGCCTTTGGAATGCAGGCAGGGTGAGGAGAAGGCAGTTCTACGGGGAAAATCTCAGAAACCAGCATTTGGGAGCCTTGGGGGGGAAGTAGAGAAGAGTGGCCTTATTGCACTGCCAGGCAAGGGGGCCACAGCAGGCCGGTACCCTTCACGTGTGTCTCCTGGTTCTGGAGCCCTTTTCCATGGTGTCCTGGGCCAGCTCACAGCGGCCTGGGAGAGCTGACCTCAGGTTTCAGCCTGAAGTTGGCTTCGATGGGAGCGCTGCCACCATGGAAGTTGGCAAATGGCACAAATCAAAGCTTCTTCCCCAGACAGCTCGTTGTTCAACACCTGCCAGCACACCACTGCCTCTGACTCAGAAAGAGATGCAGTTCCTACTGAAAGGGGGTAGCGTGGGGTGTGAACATGGACACTGTGGTTTGGAACGGATGCTTTTCACCTTAGGTCACAGAGACCATTGCAACTGCCCTGAAGATCCATCTTCCTGTAAGTCGGGGGTGGGTGTGGGCTGGGAGAGGGGCCCGGCTGACGTGCCGTAGAGCGTTTTAGCTTTCAAGTTCTTCTTACTGATGGCTGCCCCAGGTTTCGGGGCCGCACACAAGGGCGTGGGGGCTCCTTTCTAGCTGCAGTGCATCTGGGCTTCTCACTGTGGCGGCTTCTTGTTGCAGCTTGCAGGCTCCGGAGTTCAGGCTTCGGTGGTTCCAGCGCGCAGTTTAACTGCTTGGCAGCACTTGGGTCTTCGTGGTCCAAGGATCAACTCATGTCCCCTGCAGTGACAGGCAGGTCCTCAACCTGTGGACCACCAGGGAAGGCCTCTGTGGCGGCGGTGGTGGTGGTTGAGCCACTAAGTCGTGTCCGACTCTTGCGACCTCGCGGACTGCAGCCTGCCAGGCTCCTCTGTCCTTGGGATTTTCCAGCCAAGAATACTGGAGTGGGTTGCCATTTCCTGCTCCAGGGGGTCTTCCAGAGCCAGGATCCAACCCGAGTCTCCTGCAGTGCAGGCGGATTCTTTGCTGACTGAGCTGGTCCTCCGTAGTGGTTTAAAGCTGTGCTTTATAGCATAGGGGGCTTCCTATTAAGCAAAAGCTCGCGTTTATTTCAGAAACCTGTTCTTTGTGTTGGAATAAAGCTGGATGCAGCACAGAGTTGGGTGAGATTGTAGCTGTGACCTCAGAGCAAGGGCGAGAAGACCCCATTTGGAGAAGGTCCCACCACAGCCTCAGTTGGATGTGTTTTCAGATGGTTTACCATCTTGCCAAGAGTCCAGAAGATGGGATTGCTCAAGGGAAGGCAAGGTGAGCACCAGGTGGAGCTGATGGGGTCCTGCGGGGCTCCTGGTGCCAGGAAGGTGGCAGCTGCCCCTGCGAGCAGCCCCTGGCAAGGCTGCGTCTGCCATGCCGTCTGTTGGCCTGGCCCTCAAGGGGACGTCCTTTCCTCCTGGGGGCGGGGGAGGGGAGGGAAGGGGGCGGGGCGGGGGGGACAGTGAGAAGACCAGGTGGGATCCCAAGCCCATTCAGTCCACATCAGCAGACGGGGTGTTGGGAGTGGGATCCTTCAGTCCTGAGGCTTGAAGCCCCTCCTAGAAGGTATTTAATCACCTTGAAAATGTGACATCTATTTTTTTCTCATCAAGGAGCAGTGTGGGCTTGGAAATCAGACCTGGAAAGCTGAAGGCCTTCTCTGCCCTTCCGAGGGCAGATGCTGCCTGCCCCATCACGCTGAGACACAAGCAGGAGCGGGGGCATGGAGACCCACGTGGCCAGCAGCTCTGCTGGGCCACCCGCGCGGGACACAGCCGGAGGCTGCCTCCCTGACTCCTGAGGACCTCTGCTCCTAGGGCTCCCATGGGACCTGGGTGGGCAGGGGCGTCTTCAGCTCCGCCCCCTCCCCCCGGCAGAACAGGAGCCAGGGCAAGGTGCCCTCCTGGGTGTAACTAAGGGATGAGACCTTCCCCCTTCCCCCCGCACTTCTCTGGGAAGCTGCTGAATGGCTGAAAAACTTTCTAATAACAAGAGTTCAAATGCCGAGGCTCCATCGCAACAGTCACGCCTTAAACTCTAAACTTTACACGAAAACCCTCTGCGGGCCTTTGAACTCGCCTCCGCCTCCGTCGGCATCCGGCCTCCTGCATCATCCCCCTCCTCCATCATCCCCCCTCCTCCTCAGTCATTCCCCCCTCCTCCTCCGTCATCCCCCTCCTCCGGCATTGACCGCCCCCCTGGCATCACCCCCACCTCCATCATCCCTACTCTCCCCATCACTACCTCCCCCTCTATCATCCCCCCTCCACCGTCATCCCCCCTCCTCCTCCATCATCCCCCTCCTCCATCCCCCCTCCTCCTCCATCCCCCCTCCTCCTCCATCCCCCCTCCTCCTCCATCCCCCCTCCATCATCCCCCTCCTCCTCCAGCATCCCCCTCCTCCATCCCCCCTCCATCATCCCCCTCCTCCTCCTCCATCCCCTCCTCCTCCAGCATCCCCCTCCTCCATCCCCCCTCCGTCATCCCCCTCCTTCTTTGTCATCCCCCTCCTCCTCCAGCATCCCCCTCCTCCTCCTCCATCCCCTCCTCCTCCAGCATCCCCCTCCTCCATCCCCCCTCCTCCTCCATCCCCTCCTCCTCCAGCATTCCCCTCCTCCATCCCCCCTCCTCCATCATCCCCCTCCTCCTCCAGCATCCCCCTCCTCCATCCCCCCTCCATCATCCCCCTCCTCCTCCTCCATCCCCTCCTCCTCCAGCATCCCCCTCCTCCATCCCCCCTCCGTCATCCCCCTCCTCCTCCGTCACCCCCTCCTCCTCCAGCATCCCCCTCCTCCATCCCCTCCTCTTCCCTCTCCCCTCCTCCATCATCCCCACTCCACCTGCACCCGTGTTGACTGGCTCCCCAAGGTCGCTGGCGCTGACCACCTTTGAACCCTGGGCTCCCAGAGCGGCGGGCCTCCAGAGCCTGTCGCCGCTCGCTTGGCTACATCAAGACTGCGCTTGCAAGTCCCTTCTGGCTGTGGGCCTCGCACACTTTTCTTTACTGCGCAATCAAATAATTAAATGGTGTCTCGGGGGGAAATCGTTCTTTTCCTCGGTAATGAAACCCTCCAGGGTGTACCGGAGCGCCGCGTTGCCAAGGCACCGGGGTCAGTAGAGGCACGCTCGTCTCTGCCCCGGTCCCCGGGGAAGGACCCCCACGGCCCCCGCACATCAGCACCCCTGGGTTGGGGCTCGGCCCACTTTGGGGGCACGGATGGAGGGGGGTGCTGTGGGAGAGCACCGAGAGGTGGCAATGGGCCCGTGAGCAACGGTAGATGAAGGGGCGCCTGGGCCCTGCATGAGGACTGGCGGAGGGGAGGAGGGGCCGGGTGGGAGGAGGGGGAAGAGGGGAGGAGGGGAGGAGGGGGCAGGTGGGGGAGGAGGAAGCTGTGGCCCCAGGTTCTGCGTTTCTCCATTGCCTGAGCGCCTCCGTCCCCCGTCCTCCCAGCCTATACCAGGGTTAGCTTCGCTCCGGACGACTGATCCCCACCTTTGATGGGGGTCAGCCCCGACCTGGAAGACCCTAAGGCCCCCTTCACCACCCACCCCGCCCCTAGACCCTGGGCGCTCCCTTCTGCCCACCTGCAGGCCTTGGCCGAACTGGTCCCTGTCCTGGGACTCCCTCCCACTCTCTTGCTGGTGGATTCCTGGGGCCCAGGACATCTCATCCCCGCAGTGATCCTCCTCCGGGTCTCCAGAGGACGCGTCAATCAGGCAGCCCGGCGCATCCATCGTGTCAGAACCCAGACCTCCAGGGCAGGGACCCAGGCTTCAGGAACAGCCACCCACCTCCCCCCCCAGCCAGGAAGGCAGAGTCCTCCTCAGGCGCTGATGCTGGCCTGCAGCAAAGAGCCAGCGTGACCTCAGGGCCCAAGAACCCCGTTAGGAAAAGACCCTCACACTGCCAGGCCTCTGGTTGCAAGCATCTAAGGTGGAGTTCTCTGGAACCTTAACTAGAGATTCTCTTTATCTCAACGTCCTGTTTCTCAAAGTGACTGGTTCTCCTCCCCAACCCCCCTCTGATCTGGTGTGGGCTCCTGGTCTTGAGAACATATCCGCCCACTCCCCAGGGGATGGGAGCTGTGTTATTAGTCAGAATCCTTTGGGTTCAGTAAAACAAAACCCAAGTCAAGTCTACTTAAGAGATGAGAGGATTTGCTGGCTCCCAGGGAAGTCTGGGGCAGCTGGATATGAGGATCCAGTGACGTCAGAGGTTGGCCAGTGTCCCCCTCCGCCGCCAGCCCCTCCTCCTGACGCTCTGAATTCTTCTGGCTTCAGCCCCAGTGGGCTCCCCTCGGTGTGGTCTCCCGAAGCTCTCGAGGGTTCTGTCCTTCCACTTTAGAGGCCCCAGCAGACAGGGAGTGCCGTGCTCTCTGAATTCCTGGCCTGAGTCCCAAGGCTGACTCTCGCTGGACCCACGCTAGTCTCACGCCCATCCCTGAACCAATCTCGATGCCAGAGAGGGGAATGTATCAGTTGGTCAGATCCTGTGCCGTCTGTGTGACTGAGTGCTCCCCAAAGGAAAACCAAGGTGCTGCTTCCAGGAGACCCAGCAAGGATCAGAGCCAGCTACAGTGACCATGGGGACGACCGAGAGAACTAGCCCACTGGTGTTGTGCACGGAGACTTCGGAAGAGGTGGCTTGGAGGGCTCTGTGCGCTGGGGACCCGAGGGTGGAAATCAGCCAGGGTCCGACACAAGACACCAGCAGGGGTTGTACAGAGTGGGAGACTTGGGGCCAGGGACCCCAGCAAGCGGCTGTTGAATGAGGCAGGTGTGGTCCCGAAGCAGGACCTCCCGACAGGTAAGGGGTGCGGCAGGCAGGCAGGACCACAAGCCCTTCCTTCAGGGCTGGAAGTGAATCCTGCAGGTCCCGGGGGGCGGGGGGTCAGCAGGTTCTGCTGGGCTCGGCCTGCTGTCGGCCTCAAACGGAAGGGACTGCTCTGCGGCCTCTCATTGGAAGAGGAGCGCCAGGTACTGGAGTCCAGGCAGGTCTGCGCGGCAACCAGGCAGTCTGAAGAAACGGTCACAGAGCCTCTTTGGTGGTTCAGATGGTAAAGACTCGGGCTGCAATGCAGGAGAAATGGGTTCGATCCCTGGGTCGGGAAGATCCCCTGGAGAAGGGCATGGCAACCCTCTCCAGTATTCCTACCTGGAGAAGGCCGTGGACAGAGGAGCCTGGCGGGCTCCAGTCCATGGAGTTGCAAAGACTCGGACATGACTGAGCAGCTAACACACACACTGCTTGGAACAATAGAAGTCTTCACACATGTAGGAATTTATCCTCAAAAACAGATGCTCGGACTGCTGAGCAACAGAGCGTGCCATATACAGGAAAGAAATACAACAAAATATTATCAGTTGGTATCTTCGGGCCGTGAGACTACAGATGAATGGTGTGGGGGGGGGGGCTTTTTTATTTCTATGTATTTTTCAAATTTTCTACCCTGACTATTTCTCTGGTTAGCAAAAAAAAAAAAGGAAAACTCTAAGCTGCTCAGACCAAAGAAGCTGACCTTTGCCTCTCGCCATCCGCGTGTCTGCTTCACCCCCTTTCTCGCGTCTCGCTGTCCCTGCCCTGGGGACCCGGCTGTCCCTCCATCTGGATAACTGGCCTCTGGCCCAGTGGGAAGCAGGTGGCCCCAGCAGCCCTGCCCCCTAACGCGGGGGGAGGGGGCGCTGCTCCTCCGGGGGGGCGGCGGGCGGGCTCAGATGGACGGCAGCTGCGCCCCACCTCCAGCTTGGCCCCTCCCGCTTCTCTCACCCCCTGGGCGTTTTTCGGGCAGGAGGAATAAACAAGGAAGGCCTGTGGCCATCGCGGGCGTGCCAAGCAGTGGGTGTCATCTGGCGGCCCTTCAGCCCAAACCTTTTATGTTGACAAACCGTGTCGATCAGAGGACTAATTGCTTCTTGCTGTCTTCGGCCTGGCCAAGTGCTCCACAATGACTCACAAACCAACCACATAACTGGCGATCGCGAAAGACTTTACCCTCCTGGAAACAGACAGCCGAGAGCGCGCCCACTGCCTGGTCAGGGCTGGGAGCCGAGGCTCATTTTACCAAGGCGGTCCCTGCCAGGACAGAAACCTTCCCGCAGAGGCAGGAGACTCCCCTGCCCCCAGCCCTGGCTGCCCCCCAGCCACCAGGTAGCCCATCGCTTCCCTTGGAAAACACTAGAATCCCCCAGGCCTATGCCAAACTCAGAATTCCCTGGAGGGAGAGACTTGAACGGCTCACACAGTCTCGGTGCAGCCTCCAGACCTGAAGAGGACCGTGGACGTCATCTTCTCAACCTGGAAATCTTTAGAGATGGAAAATCCATAATTTCTCCCAAGCATTTTATATCCTGATAGCCAAGCAGAGAGTGACAGAGGCGAAGGCCTTGAGCAGATGAGCCCTTTAGGAGAAGTCAGGAGTCGACGTAGCTAGAGCCGGGGCCTTGTGCCCTCGGAACCAGGTCCTCGACGAGGTGGACAGTTGTGTCTGTGGCAGGTCTCTGCTAAAGCCCCCAACACACACACACACACAGGATCTTTTTACAAAAAGACCAACCAACAACAGCAAAAAGCCCAATCTTATCTAATTATTCAAATAGACTAGAATATTTTCTCTGGGGCAACTTCCAATTTCCTTCCGTTTAGCAATATGATTATAACCCCAACATATCCTGGGGATGGAAAAGAAGAAAACAGGGTCCTTTATGCAAAGCCCCAGTCTTCCCTGAGAACCACCCCCTCCCCCAGGTGAGGGGTTACAGAGAATTTCCAGGTACTGTGGAAGGCAGCAACCCCAAACTTTGTGGCTCCTGGGAGCAGTTGCATGGAAGACACTTTTTCCATGGACAGGGGAAAGTTTCAGGATGACTCAAGTGCATTACGTGTACTGTGCGCTTTATCTTTAAACTAATGCTATTGCTGATCTGACAGGAGGTACTGGTCTGCAGCCTGGAGGTTTGGGACCCCTGGTCTAAGCTCAAATGTAATAAAGACAAATCTTAGATGTGCTCGGGCCAAAGCCAGGCTCCGGATGGAACGTCTCTGCCTCCCCAGTCATCACGGTGCCCCCCGCCTCTCCTGGTTCTGTGCCAGGGCAGGGGAAGGGGGACGCCAGTGCCCAGAGGCTGCAGCAGTATTCCGGGGGGGGGGGGGGGGTGGATTTCCTAATACTAATCCAGGGAGTGAGGAAGGAGCTGCATGAGCTCCCGCCAGCCCAGGGTGGACTCGGGCCCACGGTCTGTGCACTTCTCTGATGAACTGGGGAGCGATCAATCAGAAAAGGGGGCCAGAGCTTCTGGAAGCACCCAGGAAATGAAGACGAGGTAGGTGACCTGCTGGGCAGCTGGCGCTTAGAAAGGGGAGGTGGCGAAGCACCAGAGGGGTGCCCCTCCAGCACCCCGGGCCTCCCTGGGGTGAGGTGTCTGGGGTAGGCGGCTGTGAAGCACCAGATCCCAGTGGAGACCTGGCGGGGCTGGAGGAGGGAGGTCTTGCATCCTACCTTTTCTTTTGGAATTTTCAAATAAAGTCATAGACCCACTCGTCCAAGGAAGGCACAGTTGATTCTGCAAAGTCAGTGTTCGAGGAGCCTAGAGGCCGGTTCCCTCCGTGGGTGAGGAGCCAGCTCTCACAGTGAGAAGAGTGAGCACAAGAGGTCGGTCGCATCTGGTTTCTGCCTCACGGACGCTGCTGGGAGCTTCCCGCCGAGGCAGTGGCTCTGGGACGTGGGTTCAGGTTCTTCCGAACCCCAAGCCGGTGTCGGAACTCATGACTCTTACGTGATGAATCAAGAGGTCCCCCGCCACATCCACCAGCTTGAATCTCTTCATTCCTCATGCTGGAAGTGAAAGTTGCTCAATTGTGTCTGACTCTTTGCGACCCCACGACCTGTACAGTCCATGGAATTCTCCAGGCCAGAACACTGGAGTGGGGAGCCTTTCCCTTCTCCAGGGGATCTTCCCGATCCAGGGACTGAACCCAGGTCTCCTGCACTGCAGGCGGATTTTTTAGCATCTGAGCAACCAGGGAAGCCCAACAGTAGGTCCTTGCTGGTTATCTATTTTATATATAGTATGTGTATATGCTAACCCCAGACTCCTAATTTACTCCCCCACACACATATCTCCCCCTTGTTTCAGAAAGGGTTCATCCTAGGACGCTGCCACATGGACTTGCTCTCTGGGATCTGAAACATGGCCCAACCCTCAGTGCTCTATGCATGGGGAGGGGATGTTTTTTGGATGAAGAGCAGCCCAACAAGAGAACCATCCCATGAACAGTGCGCGCTCCTCACCCAACCATCTGGTCTACCCAGCTGGAGGAGGGTGGCTGATGGGCACTGAGACAGAGGTGGTTCACTGACCCCATGGGCAGTCACCATCTGCTCACCATCTCGAGGTTGTTCATCCCCGACACATCACCTGAGACGCAAGTGCTCCTGGAAGGACCCTACCCCAGTCCCTCATCACCTGTACCTACCCGGCCAGGTGGCAGGTAGCTGCCTGGGAGGAAGAGGCTGATGAATCAGGTGGTAGACAGGGAGAACTTCAGAGATGCTGTCCACACCTGCACCTCCATGAGAAGACCCTCAGCCAGTCAGCAACCGGTGACTTGGAAGAAATCATTTTCCAAAATAGCAGTCGGGTAAGAAGACCTCCAGCTCAGAGAGACATGGATTTGAGCCAGGGAAAAATCAAGCAAAGGTGCTGACGTACAAAGGGTGCCACTCTCCCAATTCCACCCCACGAACTCAAAGACGAGGTCAATATTTTGAAAAATATAAAATTTTAATAAAGACTACATCTCTTAATTACAATAATTATTGTACCAAGTAATTTTCCTTAAATGAACTCTTTATAATGCATAATTTACAGTATAAGTAGAACAAAATGCCATGGCAAAAGTCATCGAGTACAAGACTTGTAATAAAAAGGCATAAAATATACTTGTACATAAACCCCTTTCAAAAAACAAGGGAAAGCTTGAGCCCTCAACATAGGGCGACACACGGCGCGCGGGCACCGTGCAGGTACAGGTACTGTACTGATTCAAGGTCGAGCTGAGAGCCAGTGGGCGAGTACTCTCTCCATACACTATATACAGACGCGGGTTCAGGGGACGCAGGGCAGAACGCACAGATATAAGTTAAGTGAAAACCCCAACGCCAACACAGGAAGGTGACTGGAGGGAGAGTGATGGGGCCAGTCTTCCCAAAGGTGTTCACTTCTTTGCAGGGCGGGGGTGAGGTGAGGAGTTTCCAGAACGGCTGGGGTCCAGAGAGTAATCTGTAAAAAACGCCAAGGACCACTATTTCCATAAAAGCACAAGTCGAACCACATGGCTGCAGCAGGTGTCGGCTGTGGGGTGGGGGTGGGGAGCCCCAGAAGTCACATGATGAACCTGGGCCCCAGGGAGGCTCCTTCCCCCCAACGATCACACCATTGACAGGCCCGCCACACCAGGCCTCCAGATCTATACGACAAAACAGGGCAGCGCGGGGCGGTGGGCGGAAAATGCACCGATTTCCGCGTGTGCGGGCGGCAGGGCGCCACCCCGAACAGTCTTATCTTCACGCGGAGCTTAATTCTGGGTGACAGAGAACTACAAAACTCCCTCTCCCGCGTCCACACGCTGGGCGCGGGGAGCCTGTTCAATAAATACCAGCAGGGACTCCTGTCCAGGTGAGCTGGGGCTGGATTTACAGCCCGGGCGGTCACACAGGACACGCGGCAGCCTCTCGGGCACAGTCAGCTTCGCCGGCGCCGAGTGGTCACGTTTCTGTAAGCAGGTCCGGCTTGCCTCAACGCAGTGCCGGGCGGAAGGGTGAAGACCGGCCCCGCCCTCCTCCCGCCTTCAGCTTCTTCACCGGTTTGCACTTCGCTCGTGGGGCAGGGTCGTGCTCGCTCCGGCGGAGGAAGGCTGGGCCGGGACTCAGTCGATCCTCTCCACCTTGCCCAGGATGCGGCCCTCGTACATGGGCAGGACCACCTCGTCGTCCCAGACCTCCTCGAACACGGCTCCGCACGCGAACTCGTCGCTCGCCTTTTTGAAGTAATACCTTAACGGGAAAACCCGACATATGCTTGGTGAAGTTGCACTTTCTACCTGGCTTGAGAAGTCTTTGGGGTCTCGAGAACGCTGCTGCATGGGGCTGGCAGGGAAATCGCCGCTGTGATCTGCCGTGAGAGCCGCCCGGGGTTGGGGGGTTGGGTGAAGGGCAAAGCCAGGCAGGCGGCCTGGAGGCAGTGGCCATGCCCCCCCACCCCACCCCCCCTTGAGGCTGCATCCTTCAGTCCAGGGCTGTCGCCTGATGAAGAGAGCTGCTTTTCTCACCAGCTTTTTTTTCCCCTGGGGGCGGGAGGGGGGGGAGTGGGGGCAAAGCATGCTTGGCGTTCATCTGCAGGGGCAGCCTGGGGAGAGGGCCCCTCAAAGAGCCCCCAGACTCAGCCATCTGACCCTGTGAAGCCTGCAGGAGGCCGGTACCTGAGCTCCTCCCCACCCACCAGTGCCAGACCCATCTCGGGCTGGGGGACAGGACTGGCTGCTTCCGCTGTGGCCACTGTGGGAGGCGGGCAGCTCCCTGCTTCACGGGGCCACCAAGACCCCCGCAACTCTCCCCTCTGCCCCGGGCCCCTCGCTCCCCTGCCCCACGGTCAAACGCCAAAGGCACCTGTTCTGTGTGGATGGAAAGCCCCTTGGGTCCCACCTCGGCCTTCCTTCTTGAAGCCACTTGATGGCACGGGCGCAGATGGCCAGCCTATCCCAGCAGGGTCACGTCTGAAACGACTGCTGTCCCGCCCACTGGTGCCCCTGCCCGGACACCACACCAAGTTCTCTGCCTCCCCTGTGCCCGGCCAGCAAGACCCCTCAGGTGGATTGAACTAGCCCTGAAGGCTGTCATCCCAGGCATCAAAGGCCACTGCTGGGGGTGGGGGAGTCAAAGTCCCCCGGGGGAGGGGAACAGCTTCCAAAAAAAACGTGTAATTGTGTCTCAGGGTTACAGCGGTTCTCTCTTTTTATCTTTTCTCCTTAAAAAGCTTTTCCACATCCCCCTGGGTTACAGCTAAATGTCCTTGCTCTTTAGTGAAGGCAGGCCAAGTACTCACACAGCTGATAAGGCTAGATACGGTGAGACGCTGGAGGTACTCAAGGGGCTGGACTCCCCAGGTTCCGGGCCTGGCTCCGGGGGGTCAGAGCTGGAGACACCCATCCTGGGTTGCCCACCCGAGACAGGGCACCGTGGATGGGGGGGGGGGTGAGGGGAAACAACAGTTTTGTTTCCTTGGAGAGGCTCCAATGCCCCCGGCACCCCAGGCCCACAGCCCTCGGGGACAGCACAGAGCAGAGCGGGGTGGCTTCTGGGCTTCTCTAAGCAGACTCGTGGTGACTGGGTCCATAACTGCAACCTCCTCCTGTGTGTGGCCCCGGCCTCCCCCTACCCCGAGACTTCAAAGGCACAGCTCTTGGCTTCTCACCACTGCAACCTGCTTCACACCCTGCTTCCCAGGCATCTGGCCTCTGAGGGCAGCTCCCTGCCCAGCCCTGCCCTGCATCCCGCTCCCTGGCCCCGTCCTTGCTGGGAATGGGGGGGGGGAGCGGGGGGCAAGGTGAGTGCAGCAGCACACGGGCGGAGAAGACCCCCACCGCTGCCGAGATGACCAGGGGTCCGGCTCCAGCCCAGAAGGGCGGCAGGGAGGGCCTGCTCACCACAGCCTGATCCAATCAGCAAGGAATGTGCGTGCAGAGTCCGCGCCTTAAGAGGAGAGCTGGGGCTTCAAAGCCTGGCTCACTGAGCATGCCTGGGACAGACAGGATCCAGGCCAGATGTGGCCGGAGTGCCCAAGCGGGGGCTGCCATGCTCCGGGCCCCCCAGAAGGTCACCAGCCGTGCCACAGCTGAGACCCTGATGGGTCCCTCGAGGGGCACCTGTGCCGCTACCCTTGCCTGGGTCTGAGCAAGATAAGCCAGGCTTGTTCCCCCTTCCCCTGCTCATCGCCAGAACCGTCTCTGCCCAGGTGGGACCAGGAAGACCCCAAGCTGGCCCAAGGCCTGTGGTCCGTCCCCTGCATGGTCCTGGCCCCAAGCCCTACTCCCTTCCCTGCAAACCACGTCATTCTGGGCTGCGGGGGGCCTGCTCTGAAGGGCAGGGGTCTCGGGCCCTGGAGGTGGGCTCACCGGGTGCAGAGATGGTGTGCACCCAGCAGGTCGCTTGCTAAGGGATGCTAAAGTTCTCACACTCCCTTCCTAGCTCAGGGGGGCCCTGGGGTGGCAGCTTCTGCGCCCGAGCTGGGCTCCTCTATGACCCATGTCCCCCAGTGCTCCCCACTCCTTGTCCTGGCCCTGCACATGGCACCCGGGACACAGCGGGACTCAACCCATGTACTCCTCTGGGATGGAGGCAGCCGACAAGGCCAGCTAGGACTCCAGATGACCCCGACAAGGCGAGAGAAAAGTGACCAAGGACGCCTGGGGCTGGCACACCAGTGTGTGGTCTGCACTGTGCAGATGGGGAGAGGGGGCCTGGAGGAACGGCAGGGTGGGGTAGGAGAAGGAATGGAGACAGAGCGAAGCCCCTGGCAGCCCACCCACCTGGCCCCTCCAGGTCTGGGGGCTGAGAGGTGACCCTGGCTCTTGGTTCTGAGCAAACCGACTCTGGAGAAGAGGAAAGCCACAGGATGCTCACCGGTAGTTCCCCTTTTTGCTGAGCTGCTCCTTAAAGTGGCCCAAGGTCAGGCTCTGGGCCTTCAGCATCCGCCGGTAGGGGATCTCCTCCCCGCAGAAGAAATAAGTGACCACCAGCTCGCTGGCCTGGAGTGCGTGCACCCCTGCCAGCTTCTTGGGCTCCTTGTGGCTGAAAATGAGACCGAAAAGCCGCAAGTCCAGCATCTGAAAGTGGTCAGAGTGCACACACACGCCCAGGGGGTCTGTAAACTGTCTTCAGAGGTGAGGCTGCAGCTGCGTGTGCCAAGGGCACTGGGCAGGGGTCCTGCGTCGGGGGAGTCACCTCTGGTGGGCACACGGTCCTCCCCCGGTCATCCGTGCAGATATGTGTGCGCCTCCCAATGGGAGGACAGAGCCATGTCCACTGGGGGCATCCACAGGGAACTTGCCCCAAAAGATAAGAATCCTCCCCGAGTGACCAGGACACCACACTCGCCCCAACCAGAGTCTGTGGTTTCTGCCTCTACCTAGGGATGGCGTGAACTTGGAATGCCAGGGCCAAGGTAGGGGGCTGTGTGGGGATTCGCCCTCAGTTACTGCAACTTGAGTTTTTGCCGAATGGCTAAAAAAAAAAAGAAGCCATAGGCCCAGACAGCTGGTCAACCAATTAAAAAGTTGTAGAGGTTTTTTTTCTCACTTTGAACGCTACTCATGATGGAGAAACTAAGAAAGGACAGTTGAATGATTTAGACCATTTCAGATCTCCGTAGCTGACCACTTTTTCCACACACCATCCTGGAATGAAATGAAGCCTGGCTCCCCTGTCCAGTCACAGGAGTGTAACTCGACAACAGGGACTGGGGCACCGGCCAGGAGATGCTTTTCCCACCACCCCCCAGCCCCTGGCCCCCCAAGGCAGCAAGGATGGGCCCTCTGCCTGTCTCTGCACAGGGAAGAAGCGCCTTCCTGCTCAGTTCTGCACAGACGTGTTCAACCCGCTAGCCTTCCAGATGAACAGGAACAACTTTTTCATCTGCATTTGGGGCTCTCTAGCCAGAAGCTAAAGGCTTCGCTCTCAGCTTGCAACCTTGAGCCAACCACCACTTCAGGAAGGAACACTTATGTGTTAACAAGTCACCATGCATTCCTCTGTATGGACAGGGGTTTTCCAGACCCTGATCTATGGCACCATCTCAGTTTATTGTTCCTTGTCTTGGATGTTAAAATCAAGGTGATTTTATAGACTAAAAATTTTTCAAAAACTGCAACCCCTGGCGTGAATACCCTGAAAACACAAAGCCTCTGGGTGGACCTCAGCGCCGCTAGGCCAAGACACTCACTCCTCCGAAGCGGGGCTCGGGCTGGAGAAGGGCGCAGCGCCCGGCACCCCGGGGCCCGGGTGGCTCTTGTCCCTCTGCTGACCGGTCACACAGCACCTGAGGACAGCAAAGGATGAGTGGCAAGCCCCAGCCCAGGGCCAGCGGAAAAGAGAGAACCAGTCTTCCCCACCTCCGACATCCCCCCGGGGGAGCCTCACCCCAGCCACGCTGAGCCCTGGGCCCCCGGGACGGCATGCTGCCCGCCCAGGCTGAGGGCTGCAGGCGCTGGGTCTCCAGCGGGTCACGGCTCCTCGAAGCTCATCTCACAGCCCTGACTGACTGGGACATTCCTCAGGGAACGGGATTTGCAAGGAATTTCGGAGATTCCTTCTCCTTGCAGGCACAACTCCCCAGATCCCAGTGAGCCCATCGGAGCGGCTGGACCTCAAGGCAGGGGTCCTCCACCCCAGCCCCGCCCCTGACCGCTGCGGCCAGTCCACTCACCGCTGCTTCGGGGGCTTGGACACTTCGGCCAGCCGGCGGCACGCCTCCTCCAGCTGAGCCAGGGTGTTAGGCGGGGTCAGGGGAGGCACCGCAGAGTCCTGGGTGCACGTCAGGTGGGCACGGGGGGCGGCACGGGGGTGCCCGGTGCTGCCCCCCCACAGGTGGTGGCGGCCGGCCCGCTCGGCTGGGGACGCGCGGGCCGACTCTGTGGGGTAGGCCCGCTTGGTGCTCTGGGCGCTGGAGGAGGAAGACAGAGAGGAAGCCGAAGGAAAGAAATGGGGTTAGAAAAACTGGAAAATATGACTCCAACAGAGAGCTCTCCGTCCTGCCTCCGGAGAGCAAAAAAAAAAAAAAAAATAGCTGGGCTGTAACACCACCCTGCGTTGCCAGGACGCGGCACTTCTGTGGTCTCAGTGCAGCAGTCCCTGCGGGGAGGGCAGCGCCCACCGCCCCCCAGCTCCAGCCGCGCAGACGCAGTCTGTCCCCGCGCCCTGGGCCGGCCGGGCCACTGCTTACCTGTGGGGCTTGGGCTTGCCGGGCCGCTCGCTCTCCAGCACCCACTGCCACACAACCTGCGCCCTGTCTCCTTCCTCCCCAGGCGGCTGCAGGGACCCCACTCCACCGGGGGCCCCGGCTTCCCGGGCGGGCGCGGCAGGGCCCGGCTCGGAGCCTCTCGCACTTCGTCTGGCGGTAGCACCGCCCCGGCTGCCGGTGGGGACAGAGGAGCGCGTCCATCTCAGCCCCTCCCAACCCCCTCCGCCGCCCCACCCGTCCCTGCCGTCAAGTCCCCGCTGCCCTCCCCTCCTACAGGGATACTCACCCGAGCTGGGCGGCCCCCGCCGGCTCAGGGACCCCAGGGTGGCTCCTGCACTTGGTGCAGTAGGAGTAGTCAGCGCCCCCGGGGACCGGGCAGGGGCAGCGCGCCCGCGGGGCGGCCTCAGCCTCCGCCTCGTCCCTGGTCCGGGGGCCGGCGTGGTGGTGGATGTAGTGGTGGTGGACGTGCTTCGTGGTCTGCCTGCTCACGAAACCCCTGGCCCCGAGGAGGGAGCAGCTGGCCGGGATGGCGGCAGGGGGCAGGGTGCCCCCGGGGGGGGGCAGCGCACGGTGTGGCTGCAGGTGGTGGCGGTGGTGGTGGTCGGGGGAGCGCGCGCGGGGGCTGTAGCGGCCCATGCCCGGGGACTGGCAGCCGGGGGTCTTGAGGACCCTGGACAGGTGGTCGTCCAGGATGGTCTGCGGGTCCTCCTCATAGCTGCTAGATGGCAGGAGGCAGAGGGGGTGCGGCGCGGGCCCCACCTCCCGTGAGCCCGGCGCCAGCTCCGAGCCCTCCTTCTCCTCCTCCTGGAAGGGAAGGCAGCGGGGGGAGGGGGGGTCAGAAGGAGCCCCCTCCCCCCCAATCCGGGTGGGGGGCAGGGTGGCGCCTACCTCTCGGATCTGCTGCAGCCGCTCCTCCAGGCTGTGCCGCGTCTCCAGCTCCAGCTTCAGCTTCTCCAGCCGGGCGATGAGCTCGGCCGCAAAGGCAGCAGGCTCCACGGGGGTCATCTCCTTGGGCAGCCGGTGGGTTCTCTGCGGGGCGTGGGGAGGAGACCGGGTAGACGAGGTCAGGGGGCTGCCCGGGACGGGGAACGGGTGCCGGGACGCGGCCACGTCCACGGCTGCGTGGAGACTGGGCGGCGCGGGGTCCGGGCGGCGTGGCCGCTTTATGTGCCGGCGCCGTGGCCTCATGGAGAGCCATGGTCCCCGGCCGTGCGCCGTGGGTACGAGCAGTTGGTCGCACTCCGAGAGGCCGCGCGCGCTCCCTCTGTAGTACAACCAGCCCATCAGTCGCTACTCTGAAGTTGAGAATCTTCAAAGACTGTTGTCAAACATCAAAAAAAAAAAAAAAAAAGGCGGCTCTCTGCGATGGGGAGGGGAGAGCGCAACTCAAGGAATAAAAAGTATGAGCCTAAACAGAAAGGGAGTTGGGAATTTGAAAAAATAAGATTGGAAGGGAGGCAGGGGGGAGCAAAAGGGGAAAAAAAAAAAGGAGTCACAGGGCCCAGATCAGAAGCAGTGGTAATTTCTTCCCTGGCCGCACACTGTGCACCTTTGAGGTGGTGTTGTCTAACACTGTCCCGACCCCCCTCATTCTGGCCCACCCCTCCTCCCATCTCTTTGTACAGAAAATGAAGAAAGCTGCTGCAGGCTAGTAGCAGAACACTGCTGAGTTTGGCTGCCTGAAGCTGATCTATCAAGGGAAAAGGGAACATCTCCAAGTCAAGTGCGGAATATAAAAAGGCACAAGAACACTGCCAAGAGCAGCCGACAGAGAACCCCTGCTGCCGGCCCTCGGTCCCCTCCTGTCGTCCTGAGCCGCCCCCCCCCCAACCCCTGGTCCTTCTGCCTCCTCTCCTCACTTCCCTCCTGCTTTGGCCCTTTTCTTTGGGGGGGGAGGGGCAACAGAAAGCCAACCTGCAGAGGCCAGCATCTCCCCTCCTCAGCAATGAACTGAGCCTCACCACGGCAACCGCTGAGCCACAAGACCCCGGGAGGGGAGGGCCCATCTAGAGACAGCTGCCGTTCTCACCCAGGCTGGCTCCAAGCAGCCCCCCAGCAAAGTGCTGCCTCCTGGAGAAGGCCGGTTTGCACTCCCCAGGACAAAAATCATGTAATTTATAAGCCTGGGCAACAGAACTTTTCTTAAACACACAGAACTCCCCCCAGCCCCCTGGCTCCACCTAATCAAAATATATACATCTCATCCATACTGTTGTACTGGGGTGAGGAGACGGTGATTGAGAAGGGGGGCGCTGGAGTTCCCCAGAAAAGCTATCTTCACAAATTTGAGTGCCCTGGACTGTTCCAGGAGCTTCGGAGAGAAGTTGCAACAGTCTGCACACTAACGCAACATGGGACCAGCAATTCGACGAGCTGACTTTCTACATGCGACATAACCGGTGGGCCAGCTGGGTTCTCTGCAGCTGGCAGGAAGGACTCGGAAATAGAGATGCTGCTCTGAGCTGGGCACTCTCTTCCCTTCCCCCAAGGAGCAGTTAGACGGGGCAGAGTGGCTCCCTGCGTGCAGGGGCCAGGGGCTGTGTGCCCTTCAGGACCTGGAAATCATCAGGGAGGTCCCCGAAAAGCCCTCCGAACCCCACTGGCCTCTCGTCTCAAGCACAGAAGAAGCAGTCATGGATCCTCAAACACCGACTGCAGATTCAACAGGCAGGCACAAAACCATGTTCTGGGGCTGGAAACAGGAGGAACAACAGACCTCCAGGGCTTTGGAGCAGAAATGGCCGAAAACAGAGGAACGCTGACTGAAGTAACAGAGCCAGGCAACGCGAGGAGAGGGTCCCAGGGATGTAACTGGCCCTGGCAGGAGGCAGACCCGCCAGCCTCCTGGTTCAGTCGCAAGAGCGCAGCGAGCACCTAGGATGCGCCCGGCGCGGGTCCGGCCTCTGGAGAAGGAGCCAACAGAAGGCCGCCGGAGCAAAGCGCGCATCACCTTCCGCCCTTCGGGGCCTGGTTTCTGGGAAAGAACCTCTTGGTTTCTTTCTCTTAGGGAACTCTTTTTTCGTTGAGAAAATGGAGAAGGTCGCATAGATAGATCATGGTCAGGTCCCCCGCACTGGCTTAAACCGCGGCGAACCCCGTCGCACCTCTCAGGTGGGCCTTCCCTTCCTCCTGTTCCCAGAGCTGACCGACTGTGGAGACCGCACTCCCGGCCGGTGCCCACGGGATCCCGGCCGAGGCCCCGCCCCCAGCAGAGCCGCTCCCCCCACCGCGCAGGCGCACGCCCGCCCCCATGGGCCCCCGCAGAGCCCCCACGAGGCCCCGCCCCCAGCAGACTGCCCCTCCCCCACTGCGCAGGCGCACACACGCCCGCCCCCATGGGCCCCCGCAGAAACCCCACGAGGCCCCGCCCCCAGCAGACTGCCCCTCCCCCACCGCGCAGGCGCACACACGCCCGCCCCCATGGGCCCCCGCAGAACCCCCACGAGGCCCCGCCCCCAGCAGAGCCACTCCCCCCACCGCGCAGGCACGCACGCCCGCCCCCATGGGCCCCCGCAGAACCCCCACGAGGCCCCGCCCCCAGCAGAGCCGCTCCCCCCACCGCGCAGGCGCACTCACCGGGAAGTGAGGTAGGGACACTTGACCGTTGGCTTTCACGCTCCGGTGCATCTCTCTCTGCAGCTGCTTCTTACTCCCCACGCGGTAGGGAGGGACGCCATCTCTAAGGGAGACGAAGGACAGGGCCCACCGGCTCACGAGGACGCCTCGGCGCACGCGCCCTTTGGCGCTCCCGCCGAGGACGGACAGGGCCCACCCGCCCCCACCCCCGCCCCCCACGGCGGACTCTGAGGGGACATCAGCCAAGACGCAGGCGCCCTGCCTCTCAGGCCTCTCTGGAAGTGGCTCCAGCTCGGGGCAGGAGGGCCAACTTGGAAAGAGCTGCCGTCCGCGCTCTGGTCCTAGGAGTGGGCCCATGCGGAGGGAGGGTCCCCCAGCAGGAAACTGAGACGCTTTACTTCCTCCAGTGATCTGCTACCACCGCGGTGCATTACCCTGAATCGGGCGGCCAGAGCCTTAAAGCACACCAGGCGATGCTGAAAGGATGGGGACCAGACCCACAGAAGACTAAGCCGGGCTGGTGGAGGGGTGCAGAATTCTCCAACAGTCAACCTCCCGGTTGTTTCTGAAAGTCTTCCTCCCACCAGTCACCAGCAGGCGTCCCTGGCCTCCTCCCTTCCCTCATCTCCAAACCCTACTGCCGCCAACCATCAGACTCTCAGATCCATGACCAAGGTGGGCATAAAAGAGAAAGCCCCTACTCTGGGGTTTCGTGATTCATCAAAATTAAGTGAGCACCTACTATGTGCCAGAGCTTATTCTAGGCTCCAGGCAAGACAGCAGTGAAGGGAGGGGATAAAAAATGCAGATGACTCCCAGACAGAGCTTGTGTTCTAATGGAGTGGAACACACAGCAAGTGAAACATAAAAAGCAAAATCTATAGCAAGTTAAGTGGTAAAGACTCTGCTTGCAATGCAGGAGATGCAAGTTCGATCCCTGGGAGGGGATCTTCCTGCAGGAAGATTCCTTGGAGGAGGAAATGGCAACCCACTCCAGCACTTCTTGCCTGGGAAATCCCATGGACAGAAGAGCCTGGCAGGCCGTTAATGAAGCTGCAAGAGAGTCAGACACGACTTGGCGCCGTTAATGAAGCTGCAAGAGAGTCAGACACGACTTGGCAACTAAACAACAACATCGTGGTAAGTTAGATGGTGGTAAATACTATGATGAAACGCACTATGGAAATGGGGAGCAAGGACAGCTGGTGGTGTGGAGCTGCAGTTTTAAATGGGGGGTTGTCAATGAAGTCGTCGCCACAGAGGTGATTTCTGAGCGAAGATTGGGAGGCAGTAGAGACCCTTACATTATCGTTATATTTTTATTTATTTTTTAAAATTGAAGTACAGTTGATTTACAGTGTTGTGTTTATTTATTTTTAATTTCTGGCCTCACCCTGCAGCATGGGGGAATCCCAGTTCCCTGACCAGGGACTGAACCCGCACCCCTGGCACTGGAAAGCAGAGTCTTAACCACTAGACCTCCAGGGGAAGCCCCCATCTTTATATCCTTTGGAAAGCAAATGGAAGAGGTTTAAAAACACCACCACCACATCCTCCTCCACTTCGCCCAGTCTTCACTGAAAACAGGACCTGGAGTTGCGAAGATGTTTTTAAAAAAGACTTTTGTTCTTGAAAGCTGTTGGATGGTCAAGGTGTGATTATATATCCCCACTGCTCTTCCTTCCGGAAGCCACTTATTTACAAAAGCCTCAGGGTTCAGACGTTTGCATACTGAATCATCCTTCGAGGCAGCAAATGTTGAAATGAGCTGCTTGGCTATTTCCCTTTCTCTGGCATTTTCTTTCGTTTTTTTTTTGGCATTTTCTTTGTCATTGGGCCCCTGGCTTGTTAATGGTGGCGGAACATCAGTTGTGTCTAAGAAAGCCAACTGGTTAACCTTGGGCTCCTTGCATATATACTGTGGTATAACTCTTTGTGGCTCCGAGGACTGTAACCCACCAGCTCCTCTGTCCATGGGATTTTCCAGGCAAGAATACTGGAGTGGTTGCCATTTCCTCCTCCAAGGGATCTTTCTGACCCAGGGATCCAACCCGTATCTCTTGTGTCTCCTGCATTGCAGGCAGGTTCTTTACCACTAGCGCCCCTGGGAAGCCTGGGTGGTTACCCTGCCCCCACCTAAAATCCCCTGTGGGGTGGAGGTGACAGTGGGGACCCACAGCTTGGGTCTCATGCTGGTCTCACCAATTCCTGCTGCCCCAGGACTGCAAGACAAGGTTCACGTCCTGCCAGCAACTCTTGGACACGCCAGGATCTCCCTGTGAGGCACACAGGGGCCCCACCCGCTCCTCCAAGGCTCTGACCTTGAGCGCCCTCTGGCAGCCTCTGCCCCTCACCCCTTGCCTCCCGAGATAAAAGCAGTGGTAAGGCTTGTACCCGTTTTTCTTTTTCCGTATAAAGCAGGAGACAGAAAGGTGAACTGGGGAGGCAGTTGAGAAAGGGAGGTGGGGGAGCACGTCACGGGCCACTTGAAGGCAGAACAAATGAATTCTGGAAACACTCCTGTGACCAACACCCAGTGCAGCCCCCTGCACCCAGGGCAGGTGGAGGATCTGGCTGCCGGCGAGAAAACCTGTGACCAGCGCAGAAAAGGGAGCTTCTAACCCAGCTCAGAGGCTTACCAGGCGCCTTCAAGGAAATGTGGCTTTAATCCACCCCCCTCCTCCCCACAGCCAAGAATCTTCTTCCAAAACAGCCCCTCATTCCAGAAGGGGGCCTCTCTTCTTTTCATCCAGGCTCTATAAAAGTCTGTGATCAGTTTCCTGGCTTCTCAGGACTGTGAGCTGATGTGCGCCCAAGTTTTGGTCCCTGAGCAGTCTCCTTTAATTATAAACATTGTAGCTAACGAGCCTGCTGCCGGGTCCAGCTGTTTCTGGGGAGCACGGTTTTGAAGTGTGGACTCCACTTAGCTGCCATTTAAGCTGAGCCGATTAGCTTAGCCTTTTGACTGGGCCATGCCCGGCCTAACCTGAATGTCTCTTTCCGGCAGCTTTGAAATAGCGGGCTCACGTGCACACGTGTCCACTTGCATTTCTGTTTGGCCACCACTCTGAGGGCGGCCTCTGATCACAGCCAACATCAAAAGGCTGGTTTGTAAGATAAGGCACTATGTGAAGTTCACTCAGATACCTTCCCCAGGGACCAGAATAAACCCATAAATAAGATAAGAGGAAATAAAAATAAATAAAATGACCTGGGCCACCCTCTGTGAGAAACGCATCTTGGGCTGATTTTGTGACGCCCTGAGCAGACAGACTTCAGAAGCAGCTCTGTGCAGAGAGAGAAGTCAGGGTATCATCGCCTCCACGCTGGCCTCCCGACTTTCACTTCCTAAGAGAGAGGCCACACCTGGGCGGCAGGAACCTGCTGCTCCTGGTGTATCCAGCCCCACAATCCTTCTGCCCAAGGACTGGGCTTGAGGACTTGGCTGGGAGTCTAGCTTTCAAAAAAGAAAAAAAAGTCATTTCTTCTGAGAATGTAGGTTTTGGAACAGCAGGCTCATAAAACGGCCTTCTCAGAGGCCTGTGTGAAGACTCAAATCCCCAGCCATTTTTAATGGGACTTTCTGCTCAGTGGGGAGCCAGCAGTGGGCAGCAGGCCCTGGCCTTCTGGCCCCCGAGGCTCCGTGGACACGCTCAGGGCAAGGTCACGCAGCCCAGCTTCTCCCCAGCCTCAGGCAGAGGTCCCCGGATTTCATCGGTTCTGTGGCAAATGAGACCAAGGCTTCCCAGCCTTGTGTCTAATGAACCTTCTGGAGTCTATTGAAGGCGGCCCATGACCCCCGTCCTCCCCCACCCAAGCTGCGCCCCTCCCCAGCCCCCAGCAGGGTGGCCAGCCCCTCGCTGGTCATTGTGTCCTGGAGAAGCAGCCGGGGCCCTTTTCAGGCTTTATGGGGGTCCTGTTCACTCGTGCGAGGAGATTTCAAAGCGGCCTGCTGCCTCATCCCTGAGCTTCCCTGAGTCGACAATGGACTGAAAGGGACTTAGTTCAGCTTTCCATCCCCCGCGCTCCGCACCGTGCTGGGCCCTCAACTGGCAGAGCTGAAGAGGGTCTAATCCCAGCTGGGGACCCGCCCGGCACCGGGCCAGCAGCCAGAAAGTGCCTCGCCCAGCCGGGCTTGCCGTGCCTGCCAAGCCGATGGGCCCGGGACCCCTAGGATCTCCAAGCCCGGTCCCATCCCATCAGAGCGGCTCTCGTCCTGAGACCCCTTTGTCCACCCCTGCGTAGGCAGCGGGAGGCGGCCCCACGCTGATGGGAACTGTGGGCCCAGGGACATCAGCACATCCACCTGGGGACGGATGGCTGCATCCAGTGAGCTGCCCTCGAGACTGGGTGGCCAGAGCCATGCACCCCGCCACGCCCCCGGCACTGACCTCAGGGCTCTAGGGGACCCACCACGGCCTTGGCGTCCTGCTTTACTCATCCCTGTTCAGGGGGCCGTGTTCATCCCTGTTCAGCGGGGAGCGGCCCCCGCCCTGAGGTCCTGCCACCTGGGACCCAGGGGCATCCCGTGAGCACCCAGAGCGGCTGCAGCACGAGTGGTCCGCCTCGGCCTCTCTACCCACCCGGGCCTTCTTGGCCCACATGCTGACCCAGGAGAGCTGACTTCTTTCTGCACTCTGAGCACCTTAAGTCCATGGCGCTTTAGCTCAAGGTGGGGAGGGCAAGGGCTCTGAAGTCACCTCTGAGGATGCTTTCTTTCTGGGCAGGGTCTAAAGAAGAAGGGGAAGGCAGAGGGGGTGGGGCAGGAGTTAGAACTCCCCCCCGACCCAGGCCCCAAGTCATTAGGGCTTCTGTGGCGGCTCTGCCAGCACAGAAGACCTGGGATTGATCCCTGGGTCGGGAAGATCCTCTGGAGCATGGAATAGGGACCCACTCCAGTATTCCTGCCTGGAGAATTCCACGGACAGAGAAGCCTGGTGGGCTACAGTCCACAGGGTCACAAAGTGCCGGACATGACTGAGCAACTGACACTTCACTAAGTCATTAAAAAAGAAAACTGTGTGGTCACTAATAAATAAAGAGACTCAGGTAGCTCAAAGTCTCCTTGTCAGCTGGTCCTATTACTGCGGTTGTTCACGTGGGGAGCGGGAGCAGGCTGAGGGCAGGGGCCTGTGGGCTGGACCCCAGTTCTGTCTCAGACGGGAGCAGTTACAAAGGAGCACCAGGCCTTCCTGCCCCGTCTGAGAGTCGTGAGCGGTGGCCAGTTTTTCTGATTGGGTCTTGTGAGGCTCAGCCAGGTATGGGGACTACACCCAAGTTATCTCATCCCAAACCCAGAATAACACCTCGGTGACGCAGAGCAGGAGGCAAGCCAAAAATAATCTCTAAGAAAACTAAACAGAAGTCTCACAGCCTTAAGTCAACTATGTTTAACTAAGGAGATTCACTCAATACCCTCATTCAGACCCAACTTACACTCCTATTTTACACATAACACTGACTCTCACGCAATCCACACTCTAGTTAAGAACCAGAGGAAAAATGGTGCTAGAAACAAGCATACACAAGCAAAGAATGACACCAGGCAGCGTGACAGAGAGAAGAAAGAAAAAGTATTTTAAGGGGTGGGGGAGGTACCAGTACCTCCAGGGGCAGAAAGTGTGAAAGTGGAAATGTCAGTCTCTCATTCATGTCTGACTCTCTGTGACCCCATGGATTATAGCCCGCCAGGCTCCTCTGTCCATGGGAGTTCCCAGGCAAGAGTACTGGAGTGGGTTGTCATTCCCTTCTCCAGGAGATCTTCCTGACCCCAGGGATTGAACCTAGGTCTCCTGCATTGGAGCCACCAGGGGAGCCTCCTGGGGGCAGAAAGCCTATCCAGTCTTGGATTCTGTGAGATCGTATTACAACGTGGTGTGAAAACAGACCTTCAGATTAATTATCTGGACCAAGAAACAGAATATGTCTACTCAATAAGGAGAGAGAAAAAACATTGTTTTAAGAAATATGTCCCTTCTAGGACAGTATTTTCCAAGTACAGTAACTGGAAGACTCGCCTCCATAAGAGCCCTCATCTCTTCATGTTGGTGAATGACGGTTTCCCTCTCTCCATTTCACGCAAACCAAAGAGCTATTCTTGTATTAAATCTCACCTTAAACATAAATCTCTCCTTTTACGAACAGGGGAATCTGAGGTGATACAATAAAAGCCACCAGGAAACTCAACAGTCAAGTCTCAAACCAACCCATCCACTTTCCTTTCAATCGGCTCCATGCCGCAGGCCAAGCAACAGATCGCTGGCCAATGGAAACCAGATCATTTCAAGCAAACTGGAAGAAGAGCTGGTCCGGTTTGGGGAAGGCAGAAGGGACAGACTGGAAATAAGTGTTCCAGAAGCGACAGTAGCTCCACGGGCTTGCCTGTAGAAAGCGGTCCCCTTAGCAGAAGATTCTACTCCAGGGCGTTTGAGGAAGACTCTCCGAAGACCATTTCTAGAGAGGTGGTTCCCAGCTGGGCTCCGCCTCTGAGCCTCTTGAATCAGAGTCTCCAAAGTTGGCAGGAGATGGGGTGTCTAGCCCACCCCGCTGCCCCACCCCCACCCACCTGAGACTCAGGGAGCACCCTTGTTCTCCATCCACAGAGGTCACCACCGCACGACATCAGACGACCTGCAGCTCAAAGCATGACCCTGCCCATGGCCCGCTGACCTCATCCGACCACCCTGATGGCTGGGACTGCCTTCAGGAGCCCCAGCTGACCATCTGCAGAAGAGCCAGGATCCAAGATGACTCTGGAGAGAACGCCCAGCGACAGAGCAGGCACCACACCGGCGCTTGCTGAACTGAGCCATCCAAGGGGGTGTTGCACGCAGTGGCCTGGCGAGAGCTCGGGCTTCCGGACTCCACCGTCACTGAGCCCAGACACAGCCTTCCCGCACCCCCGCCGCCTCCCACCTGTTCGTTCTGCAGACGAAACACCTGGATTCAAGACCCACCAAGCTCTTCTGCCCACAGGGAAAATGGGCGAATTGACAAGCAAAAGGGGGTGTCTGCACTCAGGGAACCTACAGGCATTGCCCTAACCTTCTACCTTAGTTCAGTTTCCTTCTGCGAAGGTACCTTCCGACCCCCACTCCAGGCTCTAAGCCTCCAGCTACCCAGGCTCCCACGGGCCCTCCTGCACTAAAGCTGAGCCACGCCAGTGGCTCACTGCCGTCCCAGCTGACGGACGTCCACACGGACACGGGGGCTTTGCAACGCCGGCCGAGGACTCCGCCCCGCTGCTCCGGCGGCCCACACTGCCAGCCGGGCACGTGGTGGGAGACCAGAAGGCACTTACACGCTACTGTCGGTCATGGACATGGAGTCGTCGGTCAGCGCGTCACTGGAGATCTCGCTGTCGTTGGCGCTGGTGGCCGGCGCGAAGACATAGCCGGAGCCCACGTGGTACGGGTTCACGGGGTCACTCCTCCTGAAGCACCTGCGGGAAAAGGGCCACAGCTGCGCATCCCGACTTTTGCCCCAAACTGTGTCCTCTGCCTGTTTAAGGCCAGCCTGCTGCCCAGGGCCCGGTGACCCTCTGGGCAGAGCGCAGGGGGCCTCTCTGCCCCCACGGTGGCTCAGGGGGGCTCAGTCCTCAAGGGACACTTCCAGAGGACTCTGCTCCTGGAGGGGAGGCGAGGGGATGACAGAGGAGTGAGTCAGTGCAGATGGAGTGTGCCCGCCCACCAACTGAGGTAGCCCTTAACACACATGACCTCATCTGATCCTCAAGGCCACCTGGGTGAAGAGGTCCTGTGCCCATTTCACAAACATGCCCGGGTGGCCCTGGATCACAGAACCACAGCCAGTGGGTGTGGGACCCATCCGGACGACTCCCCCTCAGCCTGTCTCTCTGCTTTTTCACAGAGGAGTAGCCTCGGTGTCGAAAGATGCTCCAGCGTGAGGCAGGATGACTGGCCCATAATGGGTGTCTGGGCTCTCTGGTGGAGGAACCTCTGGGTGGCTGGGGATGCCCCCGGAGGCCCTGGAAGGGACACGGGGTGGAGGCCAGGGAAGCGAAGAGCAGCAGAAGGTCCTCCACCTTGGGCGGTGGCGGGGCGGGGGAGAGGCCTGAGGCTTTCCCAGCAGCACGTGGAATCCAGGGGGCCCAGGGCAGACTGAGGCGCGGGGGTGGGCAGGGAGCTGCGGCACAGTTGGGCAGAAGAGCCCCAGGAGGGTGGGCACCGCGGCTGGAGTTGGGGGGGTCCTGCCTTCAGGACCTGCCCTCTGGCTGACAAGTGACACTTCGGTGCAGAATGAACCTTAGAAATGATCCGACACAACCCCTCAGTTTAGAAATGCTAATAAAAACCAAGAGCTACCATCAGTGATGAGAACAGTCAACTCACTGGAAAAGACCCTGATGCTGGGAAAGATTGAGGGCAGGAGGAGAAGGGGACAAGAGAGGATGAGATGGTTGGATGGCATCACTGCCTCAATGGACACGAGTCTGAGCAAAGACCAGGAGAGGGGAGGACAGGGAGCCTGGCGTGCCGCGGTCCATGCGATTGCAGAGCTGGACACGACCGAGCGCCTGAACCCGGCCGCCACCACCAGCATCGGGGCTCACTGTGGGTGGGACCCCGTCGCAGGGTGGGGTCCCTGCCGCAGCCCCACCAGCGTAGTAGGTGTTCAAGGACTGTGTGCTACCCAGTCACTGTCAGGGCCCCCCCAGGGGGTGGCGGAGCCCCAGGCAGGGGCATGTGCTGGGGGTCAGCCACGTGGAGCACACATCAGGTCCTGGAGGAGCCGATGGCAGCAGAGATCCCCAATCTGCCGGTCTGAGCGAGGCTAGATCTCGGAGACGTCAGGTGGTTGAGAAGCGACCAGGAAGTGCTCACAAGGAGCATGGCACGCGAGCCCACTGGACACCTTGGGCCAGGCCACTCTGACCAGCCCCAGACGCTCTGGCCTCGCTGTCCCACCTGTCGAGGGTGGGAGGCCTGGCCCCCTCCCTCCTCGCCCCGGATCCTCAGCGATGATGACAGGAGGCTGGTGGGATCCTCCGTGACTTGGAACTGGTGCCCACGTCTCCAGTGTGGCGTTTCCAGACAGCCGGGCAAGAGAGGTGGGAGGAGGGGACCGCCCACAAGAGGCCCGAGGTCCTCCCAGAGCAGAGGCGGGCGGGGGCGGCTGGTGCCAGCACTGGTGAGGAGGCGCCCCCTGCGGTGTCTCCACCACGGGCGGGACAGGAGGGGAGTGGGCAGACAAGGCTCCCCTCCGGTCAGCGTGCTGCAGGGAGCGGGTGCGAGCAGGTGATGGGGCCACCCAAGACATTAAAGTGGCCCAAAGCCCCAACCTCCCGCACAGGCCCCTGCCTCAGAGCGGGATGGAGCTCCCCAGGGGGCTCAGTGGTGAAGACCCCACCTGCCAATGCAAGGGACACAGGTTCGATCCCTGGATCGGGAAGACCCCCTCAAGGAGGAAACTACAACCCACGCCAGGATTCTTGCCCGGGAAGCCCCGCAGACAGAGGAGCCTGGAGGGCTACATCCACGGGGTTTCTAAAGAGTCGGACACGACTGGGCGACTGAACAACACGGATGGAGGAGATGACGGTCCCCAGGGGCTCCGTCATGCAGAAACCAGGAAGCTCCCAGCCAGCTGGGTGTCCTGGGGTGTCACAGACTCCGCGGACATGGGGTCCACCTAGAACAGTGTGCGGTTCAGACACGGCCGCTGGCCCGGGGCTGGAAACACCCTCCCAGGGCGCTGGTTACAGGGGGTCACGGTAACGCTCCAGAAAACCACGCACCAGCAAACACAAGGCGTTCTCGGGTGGCGTTTAGCATGATGACGGCACAACACTGGTGTTTCCCTCGAGAAGGCCTGTCCCGTGTGTAGCGGTGACGAGTCCCCTGAGAGCAAGGCCAGCCCGTCCGCCTCCTGGGGGCCCACCCCCCAGCACTGCCCGTCACGTGTGGCTCGTGGCAGAAGCTCACAGCTTTGTCCACACTCCGTTTTTTAAGGACCTAGGACACAGTGGGTTGCTGAACGGGTTTTTCATCTAAGAGGCGTAACACAGAGATCAAAAAGCCCAAACAGCCTTAAATAGCCTCTGTGCACCCTGCCCATCCCGTGTTGCTATCTTTGCGGTATTCACACATCCACAGCCCACCAGGTGAGGGCTGCGACAGCGTCCGCAGGGAGAGTGACTAAGAGACCCCCTCCTCCCCAGCAGAAAAAGGCGCCTCACTCAGACGCTGCGTGTGGACACAGCTCTGCACTCCCGGTCAGACACCGGGGCCCCAAAATAAACCGGGCTCCCTCCCTCCCAACATAGAGGGCTACTGTGCCACCAGCAATTAAAAGTGGAATATACTGCTCCTCGCTCAGTCCCTGCAGTAAAGTACAGGGATTTTCCTTCCATCATCACAAGACGACCCAGAGGAAGGTGGCTGAGTCGTGGGGAGAGACACAGACTTGATTTTTTCTGTTTTTTTAAGTACCCAGAACTTTGTCAAGACCGCCACAAAGTTTGGAGAAAATGAATTAGAACTGCTTTCTTGTGATCGCTTTTAAAAAAAAGAAAGAGACTCAACCAGGCTACAGGCATTGTGCCCAGATGCAGATTATTTCTTCAGGGCCGTGGTGCTCCCAGTTGCTGCAAGTCTCTTCGATCCCTCTGGAGAGCAGAGGCCGGGACAGCGCTTCCGTTGGGCACCCTCAGCCCCGCGGTTTCAGCATGCACAGGGCTTCGGCAGTGGGGGGCACGGCCCCAGGCACCCTGCCCTGCACACCGCCGGCCTGGTCTTACATGTTATCTCCACGCAATCCCGGGGGCCCCCAACCCCAACTCCAGGGCCAGGCCCATATAGAGAGCAGAACAGACCTGGCCTTTGGGACCCCTTTCTGGGGCCCCTCTCAAACAACGCACCTTAAAAGGCATTGGCTTCTAAGGCTGTGCGTTTGAGGGTTCTTCTTTTCAGAAGCCCTCTGATGATTTCCCACGAAGTCCCGCCCAGAAGGGGATGATCCTTCCTGCAGCATCTTCTAAGGGAGATGGGGGGGGTGGCACGGTACGGGGTAGGGGGGCTGCGCATCAGCACAGCGCCCCCCTCGGCCGGCTCCCTGCACAGCCTTCTCGGGCATCATTTCTTCCATGATGTTGAAGCCAAGCTGGACTCCAGTGGCTTCGCATAGAAACGGGCCCCAAGAGCGATGGCTTCGAGGGGGACAGGAAGCTCTGGGAGCTGGCAGGGGACACCTGCTGGGCCCCCTCATGTACCGTGAGGCTGGGAACCAGTGACAGGCAGGGGAGAGCACTGAGAGGGTGTCCTAGCAGCAGGCCAGCCCCCCACACACTGCCATCCTCCAGGGAGGTAGGGAGCATGTGTGCATCTGTGTGCACGCGCGTGTGTGTGCGTGTCCCTCCCCTGAGGATCCTGTCTCGTGTTCTATGAGTCTGTGTCTGACCCTTTGTGACCCCATGGACTGGGAACCTACCAGGCTCCTCTGTCCATGGGATTCTCCAGGCAAGAATACTGGAGTGGGTTACCTTTGTCTTCTCCAGGGGATCTTCACAACCCAGGGATCGAACTCACATTTCCTGCACCGCAGGTGGGTTTTTTACCATCTGAGCCACCAGGGAAGCCCCTTTGCATGAAACCCAACACCGAATCAGTAAGAATGCAAACAGGTCATTAAAGTGAGGCTCCTCTGAGCGCCCAAGGTAAACCAGGGCGTGGGGACCAGCTGGTGCCCTTGGCATCCAGCTGCAAGCCTGCTCCTCAACAGCTGGTGACAGGGAGCCCTCAGCAGGACTCGGGCACTCTGTCTCCTCCATTTGACTAAAACGAGCAGGTCTGTAGGTCAGGGACCTGGCTTCATGAGTGGAGGGAGGCAGACTTGAGCTGGAGGCGCTCCCTACGTCCCAGGAACTAGCCGGGAACTCGGACACAGTTCAACAAGCACAGGAAGTCAGGGTGCGGGAGGGGACACCTGCGCCCCGGGGCAGAGGGCACGGGACACAGAGGTGACGAGTCACCCCACAGCGGACTGTAAGAGGACATGTGGGAGGCCCCGGTGAGTCGGTGATCACTCAGAAAAGCAAAGCGCGCTTGCTTAACAACAAAACCACCAACGGAAGCACCAAATAGTGAAACAATGTCAACCTGAGCCCCACACGCTACTCGCCTAGCTCAGGAAGTCCATGAGCCCTAGGACAAGTTCTCTGCACAATAAAAAGCAGTCATTTGTGGACCTGGCTCGACCACGTAGGGACCATAAAACTCCCCTGCTCAACCTGGAGGAGCTGAGGCTGGAAGCATGACGTCTACTCACGAGTCACGGAGTCTCTTCTCCCCTCCCCACTTTTCCTGTGATCATAAAAGTGCAGCCCAGTGAGTTCCTGGGCCATGGCAACCCCTTTGCCTGCCTGCTTGTAGACCTCACAAGGCCCTATTCTAACAAGTCGCTTCTTATCTGTCACAGTGCATCTGAGTTTTCTGCACTGAGACACAAAGCACCAGAGTACTGGAGCTCCTCAGAGCCCCCGAGAGGGCACCAGACTGTTTCAAAGCTTCGCAGTGAGCGCCGGCTAGGACACAAGGCTCCCTTTTTGAGAGTGAGATCTGAACCTGGGTGCCCTTTTCACACAGCCAACAGTGAGCATGATCAAATCAAGCTAATTATAATGCCTTATGTCTGTTCAAACCACATCCCTTTACAAAGGCCTTCCCTGTTCATCATTCTGATCCTAACAGCAACCTGTGACATCAGCAGAAGGGACAGTGTCCTCTCATCTGCAGGACACATGGGCTTCAGCAAGACTTCAGCCCAGGTGGGAAGAGGTGGACAGGGCTGCACCTCAGGCCTTTGAAAAGCTCGGGGCAGCTCCTAACACACCACAGGCACCCTTGAGTATCTTGCATGTTTAAAAAAAAACAAAAAATAGAGTACTGGGGTAGGTCTTAATTTCTCTCTGACAATGCCCAGGTAAGACATATGCAGGCCAGGTAAGATACCCTCATCAGAACCCAACAGGGGGACAAAGTCAGGCAGGAACCTAGTAGGAAACCCAGGGGGCCAATGAAAAGGTGTCATTTACATATAAACAACGCCCACCAATCCCAACCAAAGAGGAACTGATGAAGCACAAAGGAGGATGCTCGGCCTGCAGACACCCCCTTAAATCTGCATCCTGGTTAGAAACAGCCAAGGTGGGCCGGGAGGGGGCGGAGTCCCCACTGCCCACCCACAAAGGGGAGGGGCCCAGGAGGGTCCCGCCCCGGAGCCCGACCGGCTCCAAAACCAGCCAAGGCGCAGTTTACAGAGGTGGCGCTCTGGGCCCTGACCCCGGGGCGGGGGTGGTACACAGAAGCCCCACTGCCTCTAGGCCCCCGAAGAAGCCGCCTGGCCACAGGCCTTAAGTGGCCTCGGCGACCGCTGCCAGTCTGGAGGGCACGGAGGCCAGCGGGGCTTTCCCCAAGTGCCCGCATAACGAAACGGGCCGGGGTGGCAGGTGGCCTGGAGCTGCCAGCCCCAGAAGTCAGAGCCAGCATCTTTCTCCAAACAGCCCGAAAGCATAGCTTAAAGATGCTGAAACAACTCGGTTCCGATGATCCTTGGAGCCCCTGCACAAGCCAGTCGGGGCTCACCGAAGGTGGTGGTGGACCAGATGTCCGCCCAGGAGGCCGGCTGGCAGGGCCGCAGGGGCGCCCCCTGGCGGCGCCAACGCCACCCTCCCTCCTAGCCTGGCCACCCCAGGACCACCCGCTTCCTGGCTCAGAGCCGGCTCCCCGCCCCTCGGCGGCCAGCCGGGCCCTACAGAGAAAGGCAGCCTCCAGAGACAGCCGCCAGGTCGCACGCCCCTTCCCACAGGGTCAGTGAGATAAGCTGCTCCAAAAGCAGCCCGGCGACCGGCCCCTCCCCCGCATGCCATCAGCAACAACCTGAAACTCAGAGGCTCATTCTCTCTGGATATTTGGAAGGGGAGAGAGAGAAACAGAAAAACTCATTCCAACAGGAGGTCTGAAGTTGCCTCCAAAGGTCAAGAATCTTAAGACTTGGCGGTTCTATAAAGAACTGCTTGTCCTCCAAGCCTCCAAGAGAGAAGGCAGTCCAGGGCCCAAGTCCTCTCCGGCCAGAACCTCCTCTCCATCAGCAGTAACCAACACAGGCACCCCCCCACCCCGGGGTCTGCCCCCAGGGCGGCAAGGATGCAAGACCTAGAATAACCCATCAGCAGATTCTGAAAAGCACAGGACCCTTCACTGGGGAGGCACAGGACCCTGCCTCCTCTAGAGGACTCCTCGCAGGGTTCACGTCTCGTTCCATAAAGAACCACAAGCCCAGTTGTTAAGCCAGCTGCTGGCTCTTAACATAAAAGTTCAAACGATCCCACTTACCCCGTGGTCAGTGGGCACACACACTACTGTCTGGGCCTCTGGCTCAGCCCAGCGGGCACGGCGGCCCCATTCACTCCTTGCCATTGAGTGACCCCTGCCGAAACCAGCGCTGAGTGTCTGTGACCGACTGACTCTCCCTCTCTCGCTGCCCCTCCAAGACTGGTGCAGGATAATAAGGAACCACACTGAGGCACACTGCCTGCCACTGTCTGCAGCCGGCGCTGGGAGACTCCGGGTATTTAGCTGTGCGTGCGCCCCTCTCCCCTCCTTTCAACAACAGAAAGCCAGATCAAAGGGTTCGTGGCCAGCGGTCCGAGCGCAAGACAGACCTCTGCCAGCCTCAGCAGCACATCTGAGCATCCATCCATCCGCCCTCCCTAACTCAAAACATCTGCAGAGCCCACCTCATTCCCCGCCCCCTCCCCCGCTGGCTTACCTGTATCCGCTTTCAACGGTGTCCATGGCCCGCGCGCTGGCTGTGGCCCTCAGGGTCTTGCTGGACAAGCCCACCACAGTGGGGGGAAGTTTGCACTTGAAGTCGGCACAAGTCCACTCCTCCTCTTCGTTCAAGGTGGGGAGGTAGCCACACACGAGCCTGAGGCTCCCCAGGCCCCCGTGACTCAGGTAGGCTGGGTTCTCGCCCCCGCTCCTCACGTACTCGAGGTATATGTCCGAAGTCAGAAACATCTGGTAGGCATTCTCCTCCATCACAGCCTGGACCTCGGTCTGGGCCTGGTCAAACATCACCGAGTCGAACTGCTGCTTCTTGATGCTGTCCCGAATGTACGTCTTGGTGGCCGGTTTCAGCTGCTTGGAGACGATGCTGTTGTTCTCAATGTACCTTTTGTAGATTGCTTTGGCTACTCGTAAAGTTTTGGCATCCTTCAGGTTCATCTGCCGGAATCCATTGCAGGCGAACCAGAAGTCTAAAGTATCCACGCATTTCTCCCGCTCCAGGAAAGTCCGGAAGAGATAAGCACCGTCCTGATCGCCCAGCAAGGAGTGCAGAGACTTGGTCCACCTGGTCAGTGGGGAGTCCGGGGACGCCCGGCCCTCCGGCTCCCCCAGCCCGCCCTCATTCCGCCGGGCGCTGGGGGAGACGGGTGGGGCCTTGGCGGCCGGGCCCTTTCCCACGCCCGGCTGGCACGGTGGGGTCTCCCCTTCTTCTCCGGGCACTGGGGGCCGCGGGGCATCCTCGCGGAAGCTGCTGCTGGGATCTGGGAGCCGAGGCAGTAACACAGCGCTGCTCATGGCGAGTGCCTTCTTCTTGCTGAGTTTAGGAATTTGTTTCTTCCTCCAGTTCCTCTCAGCAATCAGCGTGGTCTCTTTCTCTCTCAAGTCAGCAGGGACTCATCTGAGCGTCCTTTCTGGGAAGAAAAGGAAGGGGGGAGGCAGAGGGAGAGAAAAGGGTATTGATATAATCAAAACCAGATCTACCCAACATCAAAGCAAGAAAGTAAACAGGCTTTTCAACTCCTCAAATTCAAATCAAGCAACCCAGCTATCTGCGAGGTGCTCATCTAAAGTATCAGACGCTGCTTTTTCAAAGGCGAAATCTGAGCTCCCTGCACGCTTGGGGGCGGAGGGGGGGCGGGGAAGGGGCGCGGGGAGGGTGGGAGGTGGGGCAGAGGGCCCGGGAGGTGGAAGACACCGGCTTCCAAAACCCCACCCGGCCCGGCAGGGCAGCCCGGTGCGCCCCTCCCCTCACTGGGACAGCATCCACTCCAAAGACGCGCGCCCCGAGCCGCCGGGCGGTGTGCAGGTGAAACCAATTTCAGTGAATTTCCCCACTCGGCTCTCCGCACAGATAACTCGAGCTCCAAACGTGCCCTTCCCCGGCATCTGGTTCCCATCCCCCCACCTACCCCTTCCCACTCCTTAAAAATTCAGAAGAGCCTCAACCGAGCAAGCAGCCCGCCCAGCACAGGGCGGGATGGGCTCCCGGACTCCCAGCTGGAACACCCCCCCCCCCCGCAGATGGAAACGTTCGCTGCGCCCCGCCTCCCGCCAAGATTCCGGCTCAGTCTACACCTCGGTCTTCCCGGTTCCCCGAAACCAGAAATCCACTCACTCAGACAAGGCTTTGATCTCCCAACTTTGCCAGAGAGCGGAGAAGCCTCAGGACTCGCCGCCCCCTGCCCCCCGCCTCCCCGGAGCCGCAAACCCTACAAAACCGGATCAGAAACCGTCTCACGCTACCATCGCCTGTGCCAAGAATCCCAAACTCTGCTGACCTCAAGCCTCTTTTTTCCACAAGCAAAAAGTCTTATCTAACCAATAAACCAGCCGCTCACCCCAGCATGGGAAGGATCAAACTCGGGAGAGCGGAGGGGAGGGCTGGAGGGGGGGCGGGGCGCGACCCCGAACCGCAGGCCGGGGGCCCTGGGTCCGGGGTGGGCGCGCGTGGGCCCCGCGCGGGGCCTCAGGCCGCCGGTTGCGCCGCGCTGCCCGGGCGGAGGGGAGGGGGGCGGCCCCGTTACCTGGAAGACGAAGGGGGCCCGAGGCCCGGCTCTCATCGCTGTCGCGCCCCCCCCGCCCCGGCTCGACCCCGGGCTCCGGTCCACCCCGACCGTCCGGAGCTCCGGGAGGCGCTCGCAGCCACGAGTCCGGGCGCGGGTCGGAGGCGCCCACAGAGAAGCCCGGAACGCGGCGGCCGGTCCAGCAATGGCGACGCGGAGGCTCGGCCTCTCCGCACGAGAGGCCGGGTCCCGGGGCCGGCGGCAAGAGGGACGCGGGGAACGCAGGCGCCCCAGACTCGGGTCGCTCCGGCGCGCAGACTGAGCCTCGGCCGGCGATCGGGGCCCCTCTGCGCGGACCGGGGGCTGGAGGGGAGGAGAGGAGGGGAGGAGAGAGCGGCGGGAGGGGGCGGGGGAGGGGAGGGGGCGCAGCCGCCCTTTCATCCCACCTCCCAAAGGCGCCCCGGCGCACTCTCGCACCCCGATTCCTACCCAGCGCCGCCCCGCCGCGGCGCCCCGGGGGAACGGGGGGGTCTGCCCCCGCTCCGCCCCCGCCGCGACCGCCGATCGCTCGAGTCTCTCCGCCTGGCCCCCGCCACCCGGGGTGAGCCCCCCGGAGCGCCGGGCGCCGCGCCCGCCACCCCTCTGCGCGCCCGCCCGGAGCGCGCCCCGAAATAGCCGGCCTGCCCACTTCAAAGGGCCGCTCGGCACATCAAAGCGCGCGGGCCGCCCGCCGCCGAGGCCTCGCACTCACCAGGGGTCCGCGCGCGCGCTCCGCGCCCAGACCTCGCGGGCGCCCCGGGCAGGGCCCCGGCCCCCGCCTCCGGATCGGCTAGCCGCCGCGGCCCCAGGCCCCCCCGGGCCGGACCCGGCGTCGGGGAGCATGGGGAGGCGCGCGGCCGGGGAGAGAGTGCGGGGAGCCCGGCGGCGAGGGAGGCGGCGGCGGCGCGCCTGGTCGCCCCGCGTCTGCGGAAGATCCGAGTGGGCCTCGCCCAGCCACGGCCGCCCCAGCCCCCCGGCCCCCCGGCCCCGCCGGCCGGGCTTTCGACGCGGGCGCCGCTTCCAGCAGCCGCTCCGCGCACCCCACGTCCTCCCGGCGCTTCCAACAAAAACTGCGCCGCGGACCTCACTGTGCACTTCAAAGGCGCGGGCCGGCGCACGGTCCTGAAAGGGAGGTAAGCGCCCGGCGCGCCCGCGCCGCCACCGGGCCCCCGCCGCCCCTCTGCCCGCCCGGCCAGCTCGCGGCCCCCTCCCCGGCCCTCCCCGACCCCGGCCGGGCCGGAGCTCCTCCCGCCCCCGGCGCCCGCGACGCGGCCGGGCGCGCCCTCGGCCCCGGCCCCGGGGGCCCGCGGGGCAGCCGCTCGGCCGGGACCGCGCCTCCGCCCCACCTTTCAGAGCGCAGCCGGCGGCGGGGGAGCCGGGCGCCCGGGGCCCCGGGCGGCCCCGCGATCCATGGCTGCGAGCGCTTCTCTTCACTTCCCGGCGCCCGGCGGTACCGAGTTGCCAGGACCTGATCAAAGCGCCGCCGGCCCCGCGCGCCCGCCCCGCCGCCCTGATCCCGCCGCGCCAATCCCCGCCGCGCTAGGCCGGCCCGCGCCGCCCGCCTTAAAGGGGCCGCGCCCGGCCCGCCCCGCCGGGCCCCCGCGGCCGCCCGCGCCCGGCCCGAGTTCTGGTTCCGCCTCTCAAGTGCTCTGGCCTTTTTGCTCCGGCTTCCTCCGCCAGCTTGTCCCCGTCCTCCCCAGCTCGGGAAAGCAACAGTTTATTGTAGCATCCTGGCCATTCTGAGAACTGCAAGCAGGCAGATTTTTTTTTTTTCCCTATCATCAAACACTTTTCTACCTCTGTTCAAGTTTCCCTGGGAATTTGGGCTTAGAGGAGCTTGTTTAAAAAAAAAAAAAAAAGAGTGCTAGAGCAGGGGTGGACGACTAAGTGTCACAGGAGGAACGCGCAGGCCTGCGCCAGAAGTCCCGCGTGCTTGTGTTAGGATCCTGGTGCGTCGGTGGGTGTGTGAAGATGGTGTGAATCTGCCCACAGAGGCCCGGGGGCTGGAGGTGGGCCCATAGCCTCGCTGGGAAGCCAGCCTCAACTCCCTGCAGATTTTAACCCCACATTCCCAACCTGGCCCTCAGGACCTTCCCAGCAGGTACACCCCCATCTTTCTGTATCAGCTGCATCCCCCAGTCTCCGTATGCTGCATATTAAACAGACACGCGATGTCTTTTCCCCCATAGACTCTCAGTGCTAATGTAGTGAAAACTCCTCACCCCACAATCACCTCTGAGTCCCCCCAACATCCACCCAACAACCATCTGGCTTAGAATAATAAGAAAATATACCACAAACCCAGAACATTGTTTATTTACTCATCTGTTGCTATAGAATGATCTCTCATATGATAAGCTAATAATTGATTTTTCCTCCTCTTAAAAAACATAAAGGTGGAGCCCAGACTTGTTGCAGAAGGGAGAGGAGAGCTTGGCGTCCTCAGACGTGGATGCACTGGCTTTCCACCTCTACTGTTTCTTTATTTACCTTCTTAGTGAATTGAATGGACGGCAAAACCTTTCCAATGCAGAGGGGCCTTGAACCTTCATTAGGCCTTTAGGGCTTTAAAGCAGGCAAGAAACATGTTTCTCTGACTGCGTAGGTTTCTGCAGGGAGAGAGGCCACTGAGATGCTCCCGGGACTGGGACCAGGGCCCAGAGACGAGCCGCCAGGGCTTCTCCCTCCCTGAGACCTGCCTCTCTCTGTCTGTGCTCTGCTCCTTGGGCTCACCTCCCGGGTGGCCAGGCTGGCGGGAAGCCAGTGGTCCAAGGCCAGGAAACACACGGCCACTTTGGGGCGGACCAGTGAACAAGAGTGGCCAGATGACTTAGCTCTGGATTTTGACCGCTGCTGGGTGGGAGGAAGCTGGAAGCCAGTCCGCGTCTCCCCAGCCTCTCAGAATGCCGCACACCCCCTCGGGGACCGACCGGAGGAGAGCCCGGAGCTGGCCTGGGGTTCCCAGGAGCCTTTCAGCCACAGAGGGTGTGAATCTAGGACCAGAAGGGGATGCATTGCCATGAAAGCATCTACAGTATAAACAACAGCAGCGTGTGTGTGTGTGTGTGCACGCGCGCGCGCGCGCACACACACACACACACACACACGCAACGTGGGGGAGGGGAGATTGCAAACTCCAAAATCAAAATAAACAGAGATCAGGAAGAGTTGGCTCTAAAAGTCAGTGGGCACTCAGTCTTCACAGGGGGCTTTCCTTCCTGCCAGCTGCCACCCCCTCCCACCCTCCACGCGCCCCCTGCCCCAACTGCCCCAGGCTTGGCTTTCACCAAAGGGCTCACCCTCTGCTCCCTATGAGCCCAGCACTGGGCCGCGGGAGCAAGAGCGGGTTCTGCTTGGCGCTCTCAGCAGTGAGCACTTGGAGAGCCCGGTTTCCAGAACAGGTGCTCGGTCACCTTGGGCCAGCGCCTCCCCCCTCGCCCCCCCGCCCTGTCCCCTGGTGGTACATTTAGCGCTGGGGCTGGGCCAAGGGCCCAGAAGCCAGGAGCCCCTCAAGCCCCCAGGTCCCCGACTACTTGTTGATATTTCTGGAGGAGGAGCCAAAGTCCCCTGCTTCTCCCCAGCCCCTTTCTCAAGATAGCAGTTTTCCATTTTCCCCTTCTCCCTGGCAGCCGCAGCGTCATGTGACTGGTTGTAATCCTGCACGGTTGCCTGGAAACTGGAAAGCAAGGTGATGGATTTCTGCACATGCTCACTGCCCCTGCTTTGAAGACAAGCCCTACGGAGGATCAACAGCCCACTTGGCCTAAGTGCAGACAAGTTTAATAAAGCAGAGAGTAATTCTTTTCTGGAATTAGGTACCGGGCTGAAATCCTAGAATCCCAGAAAACGCAGGGCTCCCCGCGAGGCAC